ACACTACCACCACAATTGAAATTTGACATAACGTATAGAAAAATTATTATTATTTATTTTTGTTAATTTATTTTTTTTTTGATTTAACTTCTAAATTAATTTAATTACAATATAGATATACATTATCTATTTTTTTAAAAAAAAACCTAAACAACTTGAAAATTTAGTATTATATTATAATAGTATTTTTATTAATTTTTATAAAAAAATAATAATAATTATAATCATCATGATCACATAGATATATATATAAATTATAAATATTAAATATATCTTATTTTTTTTTAATTTGATAGCAATGGTAGCACCAATATTGTATCGACATATACAGTCCAAATCAAATTAGTGGGCAAACAGTACCAATTTGTACGCACAGATACGGATCAGTTAACAACTGTTGAATTTTTAAATTATAGATCAAAATATTATAAAATAATCAAAACAATTGATGATAATAATAAAGGTTTGTTAAAAAACTAAAAATAAAATAAAACAAAATAGTATTCATATATATTAATAATTATATAATAATTATTTGATTTTTGTTTGGGTGAAAATAAACAGTTATTATTGATGTATATTCGCGATCAGCCAAACAAAATCAAACACAACTGGACATTGCTTACCGTACACTCTATAGGTTAGGCTATAATGTCAACCTATTGACCATTGATCAGCAACCGGCTGTATCTGATAATAAAACACCAACTCTACAGACTACCGGTGCAAATACACCAGAAGCTCCAGAAGCAGTAACTGCTGAACAATTGCCAAGAGTTCCGCCATTGTATACCTATATCACTAAAGTAATTCAAATTTTAATTGTTTTATTTATTAATTTTAATTATTTAAAAAAAATTACTTAAATAATTATAATATATATATATAGAATTATATTCTATATCAAATATATATATATATATATATTTATTTATTTATTATAAAAATTAACTTATAATATACAAACCAAAAAAGTTATTATTTAATTTTTATAAAAAAAATAATTAGATTAATAAATATAAAATTATTATCTATAATATAACTATTTAGACATAATATTTTTTTGCTAATGTTATTTTCGTTATTAGTATTATTTATTAAAACTATTTTTTATTTATTTATATATTTTCAAATTCAAATTACTAGTTTACTGGTCGCTGGACTCGTGTTTTTTCATCTGAACTAAACAACGATGGTTTTTATGGCTATAATATTGTGTCCATACCTAATACACAACCGCCACAATTGGAGTTTAAAATACAGTAAAATTATTATTTATTATTAGTATTAAATAATAATATTATTAATAGTAATAGTAATAATAATAAATAGTATTTTTTATTAAATTTATTTTTGTTTTTTAAAAATCATATAGTTTTAAAATTAAACGAAAGAATTATTTTATTTATTTATTATTATTTATGTAAAGTTTATACTGTATTAAAATTTTTACTTAATTTATTTTATTTCTAATTTATAGATATCTTAATCATATCAATGTATCGATACGTTATGAAATACAATTGTTAGATAAAACCTATTTATTGATTGATACTAACACTAAAAGCCAAACTAAAGTCGATTTTTTGAATTACGATTCAAACAGTTATTTTATTGTCAAAAGTTTAAAACCAAATACAGATTCTGGTTTGTATTATATATAATATATTTGTATTATTAATAGATTTTTTTAAATATATATATATTCTGTTTAGTTTATAAAATTAATTAATATTTTTTTAATGTAATTAATTATTTTAAAAAAAATTAACTAAGTTATTAATTTTTTGTTTTATTTTTTTTTTTTAAAATATATATATATATATATTGTAGATGTTATCGATGTCTATTCACGATCAGACAAACCAAATCTAACCGTACAGGAGATCGCCAAATGGACACTTGAGATGTTGGGTCTAAACAATATAACATTATTGACTGTTTTTGGCGACACACCCGTTGTTGACAATAATGATCAGCCAACAGTAGTATTGCCAGACCAACTGTCCATGAAAACACCTCATGTATTATACATATATAAATTATATATATATATATATACTGTATATTTAAAAAAAATATATAACTATTATTTAATATTTTTTTAATATACACAAACATAATATTATTATTAAGGTATTTGGTCAATGGAACTGGATGTATGGTTCGGATAGGACTGGTTTTAAATCGATAACATCAGCCTATGTTAATGGCACGCAACCATATGTGGCAATTATAGCCAAGTAAATAATAATAATAATTATTATTATTTTTTTGATAAATTATAATTTTGTTTTTATAGATTTTTAATTAATATATTTTTTTTTAAAAAATGATGATAAATATTAAAAATTTTATTATTTATTTATTATATTTAGAGAAAATGAGAATAAATATATAACCGGTTCCTTACGTCCGAAAATTGATGGCAACAATGAATTTGAATTTATAATGGATGGCAATAATAATCAAGTGTTTGCAACAATTGAAATATTAAACTACGAAAGCGGTTGTTTTGTTATGTCTAAGTCTATATTCATCAATGATCCTACAAGTAAGCTAATTGTCTTAATTATTTATATATATATATATATATATAAAGTAAATATAAAAAAGTATATATAAAAAAAAGTATATATAAAAAAAAGTATATATAAAAAAATATTTTAAATTTTTTTTGTTGATAAATACTCTCTTAATAAACACTCTCTTAAATAATACTTATTATTAAATTTAATTAATTCAGTTTTTTGTTCAATCTTTATTGATTAAATATACAATTTTGTATAGTATATTATATTTTTAGTAATATAACAAACTAAATATTACCGGTAGTAATATATGTGTTATTTTGTAATATATATATATATATGCATTTATATCATATAAATAGCTTATATCGATGTGTTTGGCGTATCAAACAAACCAAACAAAACTATACTAAACATTGCCGAACAAACACTCAGACAATTGGGTCTCGACTATACACTACTGTCCATTGATGACAAATATGTACCCGACATAAGTCGGATCATTACCAATGATGTGACGCCACCGCCGCCAGAGATAACCACCATATCTGATGAGATAAACACCATATCTGAAGAGATAAGTCCAACATTACCAGAGATAACTACTACTACTACTACTACATCATTATCGACAACCACTGAAAAAATTGCCGAATTACTGGCCACTCCGTCACCCGTGGCCCGTGATTTTGTTGCCAAATCATTGAAAACTGATAACTTTAATTGGGTATATATTCGAGGGGTTGTTTTTTGGGGGGGGGTTAGGGTTGTATTAAAATGTATTAATTATCTCTCTCTCTCTTTCTTTCTTACTCTCTCTCTCTCTCTCTCTCTCTCTCTCTCTCTCTCTCTCACTATGATATATCAATCAAATCCCCCATAGCTTGAGGGCAAATGGTATGAATTGTATGCAACGTTGAAAAACAACAAACTGTGCGCTCAAACTGTATTCAACCGAACCGGTAGTCAATCGGAACTTACATTTACAACTTTGTATGTTTTTGTTATAATAATAATTTTTTTTTATAAATATATTTTTTGTATGAAATTAATATTATTAATATACAGTATTACATATAAATTTATATATATATATATATATGTATTTTTGTTTGCTTGTTTCAAACAGCAATGACTGTTCAAAATTAAGCTCCGGTTTACTGAAAAAATTACCCAACGATAACAGTCAGCTGGCAATGATTGGCAAAGATTTAACTGCAAGCTTATGGATATTGGATACCGGAGCCGAAACACAGAAAACACATTTTCTAGCATTAAAATCGTTTAATTTTCAAGATGATGTAATCGGTATGTATAGTACTGTATATATATATACAGTATATTAAAATAAAAATAGATTTTATAATTTTTTATTAATTATTATTATTATTATTATTTTTAGAAAACTATATACTATTTTCACGTACGTCTAAACTATCGGACCCGGATATGACAAAAATTGTTGAACAGTTAGCCCGTTTGGTCAGTCATGCAAAACTAGTACCAACACTACACCCGGATAAATGTACATGCAATCATTAGGAGGTTGTAATAATAATAATAATAATAATAATAAATAAAAACAAATTATAGACATTTTTTAAAAATATTTATTCAATATATTTCAAAATTAAAACAAAATTGTATTAAAACTATCCAAATTAATTTATATTTATAAAATAATAAATAAATACTATATAAAAATTTATAATTTAAATATATTAATAATTTTTATTTTAATAAAAAGAAAATAATTCTTTAAAAAAAATCTAATAATCTGTATTTTTTAATTCAAATTTTCTACATAATTAGTTTTAAATCACTTAACTTAACCCTGTGTACATAATGTGATTAGGTATCACCTGGCTATAACATAATAAAACATCCAATTATGCAATTTTTTTTTATTGATATTATTATTATTATTAAGTATTAAGTATTAAATATTTTCTGTATAATCATTGTACTGTAATTTTTTAAAAAAAATACTTAATTAGCCATTTCAACATTGGTTAGTTTTGTATTTAAATACTATGATAGTAAATACACTATACACTATATAATTTATAATATATATATATATTACAAATAAAATATAGTTTTAAATTAAATAGATATATAATTTTTGTTATCTATGAAATTATTATGGGAAAAAAATATTTTTATTAATCACCGTCAATAAAAATTATTTACAATTATGCCAATTATTTATAATTATTTAGTCAAACCATTTGGTAGAGATTGCCGTCTAATTAGGTATAGATATCGGATATCGGATACATTTTTTCGTAAATAAACAGATGTTTAACTCAATTTAATTAATTAATATATATTTATATAAATGGTTGAAAACCAAATTACTAATCTATAAGTTACTATAAATATTATAAATTAATTTATTAAAAAAAACAAACAAAAAATCATGTGTGAATAATAATGTTTGAATCAATTGTAGTGTTTTTTCAATATATGTTAGCAATATGTTTACTAATAATTTCAGTAATATATTTTTATTACAAACATAAAAACCGTTACCGCGACTCATGTTTGGCCACAATTCCCGGACCCCGACCCCGATACCCGCTGATCGGTAATTTAGATCTGTTTAGTATACCTGGTGTTCCTTATAATAAAAGTAAGTTTACAAAAAAAATGAAAATTGTTTTATTATGTTATTTATTTAATAAGATTTAATTAAAAGATAACTATTTAGATAATCATTCACCTATATATTTAAAAGATAATAAATAATTTTATTTAATTATATTTTAATTAATTATAATTATAGGTATTTATCCAACATTAATATCATTATGCAAACAATACAACAATTATGGTATTTATAAATTATTAATCGGACACAAACCAGTGGTTGTTATATTTAAATCTGATTTAATGACTGTATGTATTTGGTATTACCTAATTGTTTTATAAATCAAATAATACAATAACATATAAAAATTTTTTTATTAAAAAACATATTTTCTATATTAATACAAATATATATATATATAGAAAATATTTTCAAGCAATATCAACATTGATAAATCATATATATTTAACTTTCTAACCGATTGGTTAGGCGATAGTCTAGTCATGACTACCGGTTCTAAATGGAAAGGTAGACGAAAACTGTTGACACCGGCATTTCATATGAAAATACTCGATGATTATCAGCCATTGATTAATGAACAGACATCGATATTTGTTAAGAAAATCATTGATATATCCATTGATAGACAACAATATATTGATATCAGGGAACCGTTAACATTGTTAACATTGGATATTATTTGCGGTAATTAATATCTAATGAATAATTAATTATTTTTTTAAATTTTTTTTAAATAATACTTACCGTTAAATTGTGTTTTCTCTACCATATGGAGAATGTCAAAGTCATGGGGAATAATTGGAGTTTTCTCCCATATGAAAAATATATAGTTTTTTTTGACTTTGTATAATAATTTACTGTCAATTAAATTACCAGGGGTGGTAAAAAATGCGAGTTTTTTTACCATATGAAAAATATAGTTTTTTTTGACTTTGTATAATAATTTACTGTTTAATTAAATTACCAGGGGTGGTAAAAAATGCGAGTTTTTTACCATATGAAAAATATAGTTTTTTTTGACTTTGTATAATAATTTACTGTTTAATTAAATTACCAGGGGTGGTAAAAAATGCGAGTTTTTTTACCATATGAAAATGTTATTTTTTATTTTTGAATTACCATATGTGAAATAAAACACAATTTTACGGTAAATAAACACAATAAAAAACGCGATAAATAAATTACTACCGGTCCCAATTAGAAACTGCAATGGGCGTACAGATTGGGGCACAGTTAGGCAAAAATAAGACATACGTCCAAACCATTCACGATATCGGAGAAATATTTATGAAACGTATATTTTCGCCTTGGATTTGGTCAGACGTACTGTTTTATCGGACAACGATTGGCCGTAAATTTCGTAAAACACTGGAAACTTCTCATTCATTTACCCGGAATGTTATCAACGAAAAGAAAAATATGTTTATCACTAATAATAATAATAATAAGTCAGACAATAAAAAACAGATAAGTAATGATAATAATGACAATTATTTTTTAACAAATAACAAGAAAAGTATGGCATTTATGGATCTATTACTCGATTATCATATCAAAGACAATAAGCTGTCTGTGGATGACATACGCGAAGAAGTGGATACAGTTATGTTTGCCGGACACGACACTACATCAGTCAGTCTCGGATGGACTATCTATTTGATTGGATTGCATCCGAAAGTACAGGAAAAAATTCATGAAGAGTTGACCACAATTTTTGGATCAGACAACGACAACAACGACAACGACATCAATAGAGATATAACTTCGGCAGACATTCAACGTATGACTTATTTGGATTGTGTACTAAAAGAGTCGCTACGTATGTATCCGTCGGCACCACTTATTGCCCGCCGACTGGTCGAAGATTGTCCGGTCGGTGATAATAATGATAATAATAATAATTATGTCATACCTGCCGGTGTCGATGTCTTTCTAATGGTTCGACAAATGCATTACAATCGGGAAGTGTTTGCCGATCCCAATCAGTTCCGTCCCGAACGCTTCCAATCGGATTCATCGATGTCTCAGATAAATGCCTACAATTATGTACCGTTTAGTGCCGGTCCCCGCAATTGTATTGGCAAACGGTTTGCCATAATCGTCGAAATGATTGTTTTGGCGAAAATTTTGCTAAACTTTTCCATTGAATCACTGGAACCGTTAGATAGTATCGAAACATCCGTTGAACTGATGTTTCGGGCAAAAAGTCCGCTAAACGTTAGATTTATTCCTAAAATCTCTAATTAAAAATTTTTTTAGTAAAAAAAATTAATTTTAATTTTAGTTTAATATAAATTTAATATATTAATATAGTAAACCATATATTTTACATACAATAAAAAACTAAGCGCCCACTAGCTATGGTATATAAAATTTTTGTATACCCTGTATTATTTTCTATTTGAATATTTTTTTATAAAAAAATTAATTATATAAGATTAACCAAATAATAGCAAGGTGCAATTATCTGATCGATCATACAATCAAATATATTTTTTTTTAAATTAACCAATTTTTAAATATATTTAATTAAAAAACTTTGTCTAATAAATAAAAAGTAATATTGTTTATATATATTAGTTTTTGTATTTTTAAATTTATAAGTAATATTAATCTATGATAATTTATCATTGATAAATACAGTACATATATACAGTATATATATATATATGCTAACTAAAATTTTCCTCCAATGTTATGCTAATTACTTATTTTTTTTGTTGTTGAAAAAAATGAAAAATATTCAATAAAAACTGTTAAAATATATATAACTTCTAGTAATAATATAATTTGTGTTTTCCATATACTCTACATATGGTTATGATTAGGAAATACTACACTAATTGAAATAATTAATTTATTTTATAATTTTTTTTGAAAAAATTACTTTTTAAAAAAGTTTGTAATTTGACCAACCTAAAACTCACATAAAACTTAAAAAATAACAACAAAACTTGATTAATATATAAACAACAACAAAATTATTTAAAATTATATCAATTAATACATTATAATTATTGTTAATTATTAATTATTAACAAAAAATAAATAAATTAACATTTTTCTAAAAAAAAAATTATCAATACTTTAATAAAAATCAAATAATTAAACAGAAAAAAATATTTGTGTTATACAAGTGACAAAAAAATAATTGCTTAATAAAACTTTTTTAAAAAAAATTTTAAAAAATCAATTTCTATATCAACTTCTCAAACAATTCTGTATCGATCGCACGATTCGCTTAGCCTATAGTTACCGCCGGGTATATAGAGTATACACCTAACAAATTGTTGGCCACCGGAACTTAACGATGAAAACTGTTGGCCACCATCACTGGCACCAGTAGTCCAATCGTTAACCAATTGTATGATTTGTTGCTCTAAGTGTTCAATTTTATCGGCAAGAATCGACTGTGCCGTCTGTATTGGACACTGGAGATCGACGGCAGTCATGGCCACAATGTTGGACATCTGGTACAAAGCTGATTGATTGTCATTATCATCGGATGCTGATAGACGAGTAGTACAGGTGCTGCTGTCAGTCGATAGGCATTTATTTACGGCTAATAACTCTTTTTCAAACGAAAATAAATCGTTGACAATAATAATGTGGTCTTTGAAAAATTCTAACAACCGTTTCATGATTGGGTTACACCAGTCGCGCTCCGGTAGTTCAATACCAGTGCCATAGATTGTATTGAATACTGTTGTGTTTAGGGCAACAGTTATTCGGCGAATCTATAATTATAAAAGAATAAAAAATATATTAATAGATAAATTTGTATCTAAGATTATACACATACACATACACATACACATACACATACACATACACATACACATACACATACACATACACATACACATACACATACACATACACATACACATACACATACACATACACATACACATACACATACACATACACATACACATACACATACACATACACATACACATACACATACACATACACATACACATACACATACACATACACATACACATACACATACACATACACATACACATACACATACACATACACATACACATACACATACACATACACATACACATACACATACACATACACATACACATACACATACACATACACATACACATACACATACACATACACATACACATACACATACACATACACATACACATACACATACACATACACATACACATACACATACACATACACACCCGGCACACCATACCCGTAGCTTTTCGTCTAACGAAACGAAGCGACCGTTTTTAGCAATACTTTCAGTTTCGTCGACATTAGCTTTGGCCAACTCGAGTCTCGATCGGACAAATCGGTTCCACTGTTCGGTATTCATCTGCCGATAGTAGTCCTGATATGTCGGTATAATTTGCCGAATAAATGGTTCCAATTGATCGACAGCCAGTGTCCGGTTGTTATCTGGTTGGCCATCGCCGGACACTATTGTAAACAGACTGGTCTGTTGCGACCAAACCCGTCGGCATTTGTCCATTTGCTGACAATTGTATTGACCCCACGGCTCTTCGGTATTGTCGTCCATAATGAACATAAAGATAAAATCTTGTAACATATGATAGTATCTGCGCTCACAGATGACTGTCGGATAAAAGTAAGCGATCATTATTGTCGTTACGATAACTATTTTATGATAGTTTTCGGCCGATATCTGACTGGTCGGCAACTGTCTGTACGTCCAGTCGGTCAGTGTTTCCGAACCAATGGTCAGATCCAATGGATTTCGTTTGAATGGCAATCTGGTTGTAAACTTCGGTATCGGATATTTCAATGGATACTGACGTAACTGTTTGTCGCACCGATTGTATGGCAAACCATATCTACAACTATTACTAGTATTAGTTGTCATTATTATTAGTAGTAGTAGTAGTAATAAAACAATTAGTTATAAATTAGTTATAATTACTTAATAAGTAAAATAAAATAATTGAATTTATTTTTAAGCAATAATTGAATTGACTTTTTATTAAAGCAACTAAATGTACAGTTTATCCGATTTATTTGAACAGTAAGTGTAAAACTTATTAACAAATTGATTGGTTGTTTGCAATAGTTTTTTATATATAAAAAATTGTTTTTTTTTAATGATATCTATGTCTATGTATAATATAATATATTTATTATTTTTTTAAAATGAGCAATTTAATGTGCATAGCCAATACCATTTTAAAATTTAAAAAATTTACTCAAAAAAAAAAGATTATTATTTTCTATTAAAAACTAAACATCTGGATATTTAAATCAATAAAATTTTTGTTAACTTAATCACTTTATTTTTTTTGTATTTCATTAACTATGATAATTAATTAATTAATTAATACACACACACAACAAAACTAATGAAAAATTAATACATTTTTTGTAATTTACTATTATTTATTTAGTAAATTATTTTAGTTAGTCAAAAATAAAAACAATGTTTAATTTATTAGCATTAATATCATGGTGGACTATTTTAAAATTATTTTTAACATATCTAGTAGTACTTGTTGTACTGTTTTATTTGAAATTAAAAAATTATCCCCCAGGTCCGTTACCATTGCCACTGATTGGAAATATATTATGTAAGTATTTTAATTTAAAAAAAAATAATTAACTAATTAAGTATAACTTAAAATCTATATTAATTTATATTATATATATACTTTATATTTTTGTATATATATTTTTGTATATATATTTTTGTATATATATTTTTGTATATATATTTTTGTATATATATTTTTGTATATATATTTTTGTATATATATTTTTGTATATATATTTTTGTATATATATTTTTGTATATATATTTTTGTATATATATTTTTGTATATATATTTTTGTATATATATTTTTGTATATTTATTTTTGTATATATATTTTTGTATATATATTTTTGTATATATATTTTTGTATATATATTTTTGTATATATATTTTTGTATATATATTTTTGTATATATATTTTTGTATATATATTTTTGTATATATATTTTTGTATATATATTTTTGTATATATATTTTTGTATATATATTTTTGTATATATATTTTTGTATATATATTTTTGTATATATATTTTTGTATATATATTTTTGTATATATATTTTTGTATATATATTTTTGTATATATATTTTTGTATATATATTTTTGTATATATATTTTTGTATATATATTTTTGTATCTATATTTTTTGTATATATATTTATATATATATTTTTTTTATATATTTATTTATTTTTTAAAAACAGTATTTTGTAATTATCGTAAACACTGGAATTGGGTACTAATTAGCTTAACTAAAACATATGGACCGGTAATAACTATATGGATCGGTCCGATGCCCATAGTTTTCATATGCGATCTTAACAATAGGGAGGCTATGAATCAATGGCAGCTAAGTGGACGGGCAAAATGCAGCTTATGTACCCAAAATATATAATTATTATTATTATACAAACAATATGTTTGTTTTTTAAATTATACATTTACTAATATTATATATTATTTTATTTATTTTTTAAAAAGTAAGCATTTTATCTAATAATCATCAAATGGGTATATTAGGCAATGAAGGTAAACCAGTGGAAATTATGCGAAAACTTGTTTTAACAACAATAAGGTAATAGTTATTTCATATATTAATAAAAAAAATATATTACAAACAACTAAATACTTTTTAAAATATATACTGTATAATGATATGTATATAAAAAAAATAATGTTTTTGTAAGAAAAAAATGTTTTTCAAAAAAATTATTATTTTATTAATATGTTATTAAATATTATTTATATACACTAAACATAAAAGTATGTAGATCAATATATATATATATATATATACATATTATATACTATACTATATATATATATATATATTTGTTTTTATTTTAATTATTTTATTTTATTTTATTATTATTAACAGAAAATATGCTAAAAGCGATGATTTAAGTCAATTGTGTGCCAAAAGTGTTAGCAAAATGTTTGACAAAATCATTGCTAATGAGGGCCTCAATCAAGCATTTGATCCCAAATGTTATTTGGATGATATTATTTATCTGATAAGTGGACAAATTGTTTTCAATGAAAAGTATATATATATTTATTATAATAATAATATATAATTTTTTATAAAAATATTATAAATAAAAATATACATTTTAACAATAATATAATATAATTATTTTTATTTTTTTTATATTTTTTTTACATATAATTAGTATAGTTAGCAATCATCCAAAAGTATTGGAAAAATTTATATATAATTCAACAAAAATATTACACGAATCAGGAAATCAAATGCTTTTATACGATTTTCTACCAAATTTTCTGAAAATTTTCATGAAAAATCCGTTTACTAAAGTTAAAAATTATCATGATCATCTGATTAATTTTACTAAAAATGTCTATAAAAACAATGAACAAACATATAATGGAAAAATATGTCGAAATTTTTGCGATAATTTTATTAATGCAAAACAGGATGCAATCGTTGATAATAAAAAATGTTTACAATATTTATCAGATGATAATATAGTTATTACATTAATTGATTTATTTTTAGGTAAATATTTCATTATGTTTTTTTAAAAAAAAGTATACATTATATTTATATATATAATGTTATTAATTATTAATATTAATTATTAAAATAAATAGCATTAATTGAGACAACACCGCCAACTCTACATTGGATGATATTATTGTTAGCCTACTATCCGGACGTACAGTTAAAATTGCGCAATGAATTGGATAAGTTTATTATGAGCACCAGTAGTAGTAGTAATAGTAGTATAACAACCAATGTTGAACAACAACAACAATCAATTGGTCCAAACCATAAACACCAGTTTCCCTATACTATGGCATTTATTTATGAAACATTACGTTTTAGAAATGTGGTCCCATTTGGCCTACTTCACCGATCAATGGCTAAAACAACTATTGGTATTGTATTTTTTAATATTTTAGTATATATATATACATATAATGCCAATTAAAAATTTTAATTTGAGTAATATATCGTGTATACAGTTAGCTTTACACTAAGCAAGATAACTTAGTAAACAGTTATAACTTATATTAGTTAAGTTATATACAGTACCTTGCTAAATAATTACTCAAATTTAAACTTTTAACTGGCATAAACTATATACAGTATATAGTTTATATACTATAACTATACTATACTACAACTAAAATATATAGATAGACTCATTTCATTGAAATCAAATCAAATCAAATAATATAAATTAAAAAAAAAGTTAATATACATTATTAATTGATTGCTATTGTATTTAAAAAAAATAAAAATATTAATTAGATAATAAATATCCCGTTCCCGACAATACGGTTGTCTTATTCAATCACTACGCTATACTAATGGACGACCAACACTGGCCATCGGCCCGAACATTCAAACCCGAAAGATTTTTAAGTGGATTCAATGATAATGATAATACTAATAATGACAATCAAACAACAACAACGACCAGTAGTGGACAGTTAGCATCATCGCGGGTTAGACTAAACAAATCGCAAGCATTCATGCCGTTTGGTTTCGGTAGACGTCAATGTCTGGGCATAAAACTGGCCGTAAATGAACTGTTCTATGTTTTGGTCCAATTTTTACGTCTAACCAATAACTATGATATTGTCTATGATACAAACTGTACGGATAAGCTTCAGTCTACTACTACCGGTGCTACCGGTAATGATGTCGATGATGATGTCGACAATGTTTTGGATGGCGATAATATATCAGTTATCGATCAGCTAACTAAACCGTATAAAATAATATTAAAAACTAAATCAAACTAAACTTTTTAAGTAAAATAATAATTAATTTTCGTTTATTTATCATCAGATTTTTATTTTATTTTATAAGTATGTTTAATATATAATTTTATTTATATTTGTTGTTAATAATATTTTAAACACTTATTTTTTATATTTTTAAAAAAATATATATCAATAATAAACAAATATTTGGAATCAATTAATTTATTTTTTATTTATTTTTTGTAATTTTAAATTAATTTTAAAGTTTATTTTATTGAATTAATAAATTGTTTAATAAATTATTGTAGTATACAGTATATTAAGTATTATAACTACAATAGACATAGATATTAGGATATATACAGTACAATAGGATATATACTGTATTAATATTTTTAATACAAAAAAAATACAATAAAATTTAAAATAAAATCAATATATAATTTAATATATTTGCGTCAATAAACAGCTATATGACCTATTTTATAATTATAAATTAGTTATTGAATGATTAATAATTTAAGTTAAACATAATTAAAAAAAATATTTAGATAATATTTAATATTAAATTTATACATTATTATTATTTTTTTTGTAATGGATAAAACTTTTTTATTTTATTTTTTGAAACAAATGATTAGTTACTAAAATATATACTATAAATCAATTCAAATGTTTTATCAAAATTCAATGATTCATAAAAAAAAGTACTGAATATAACTATTGATGATTTTTTTTTAGTAAATAAAAAAATTTTAAGTGCATTTTTATTGGCAAATATATCAATAGCTTTTGACGTTTTTTTTAAAAAAAATAAATAAATAAAATAACATGTGGTACTAATAAATCAAATTAATAGATAGCCTATTGTTTCCACATACTTAAAATAATTATGTATTTTTTGTTTTGTTTATATTTTTTTTCTTTAAATAAATATTAGATATAAATATAAGGGTTGCTCGATTTCAGGGGGTGGGGTATAGGGTAGGGTAAAATGACACAAAAAAACTTACATGAAAAAAAATCATCAAAAAATCTTGGAGATATAGTGGTATGTAAAGCAAGTTTTTAACAAAATTTTAGTAAATTCCCAATATATTCCCAATATATTCCCAATATATTCCCAATATATTCCCATTATATTCCCAATATATTCCCAATATATTCCCAATATATTCCCAATATATTCCCAATATATTCCCAATATATTCCCAATATATTCCCAATATATTCCCAATATATTCCCAATATATTCCCAATATATTCCCAATATATTCCCAATATATTCCCATTATATTCCCAATATATTCCCAATATATTCCCAATATATTCCCAATATATTCCCAATATATTCCCAATATATTCATAATATATTCCCAATATATTCCCAATATATTCTCAATATATTCTCCATATTTTACATTTAAAAAATATTTCTAATTTAACTCTTTATTAATTTCAAAATATTATTTTCTCATACATAATAATTATTTTTACGAAATTTTAGAAAAAATAATGTAGTTTTGTATACAATTTAATTTTAGAATATATATATATATATATATATATATATATATATATATATATATATATATATATATATATGTAGTATTTAATAATGAAACCTAACTAATATATTTTATTTATAAAGTTTGAAATATATGAAAAATAACAAATTGTCTATTTAGTTACTATTTAATTAATAAAAAATGTTTTAACTATAAGTTTTCGACTATTAAGTTGACCCAACTCTACAAAATGTAATATTTATTTTTAATATCTTGATTTTTATTATCTAAATATCATATTTTGCATATAATTACTAAATAAAGTATATTTTTTATGTCTAAATATAAAAATCATTAATTTGTCTATTATTATGTTAGATATATTTACTATAAAATAATGTTATATTATGATAAAAGGGGGGGGGGTAAGATGACTTACTCACTTACCCCTACCTCCCCCTCACTAGCAACCCTGCTGATATCATAAAATATACAATATTCAATAAATTAACATTTATATAATTTGTTATCAATTAATATTATAAAAAATATATATATATTTGTTATTAAACAGATGTATAAAATCAATTATATTAAGGTATATAAGCAGATATAAAAAAAATTAAATCACATTTTAAAGAATAAAATAATTTTTTAATAATTAATTAAACTTTTGTTTTGTACAGTGATTTAAGTGCAAAATAAAAGTAAGTAATATATATGTTTATTTAATATAGATATTATATATATTTATATTTTTGTAACAAAAAATGTATTTTTAAAAATATCATATCATTTAATTGATTTGATTAGTGACTGATGAACGCCGGGGACGCCAATACCCGGTACCAGAATTTCGGTCAATTTTCACAGTCCGATGCAATCCGTTTAACAACGACACTAAACGGACGGCCGAACTAACAAAATGGTGGTCAGATTATGCATTGTTGCCGGCCGACAAATATCGGGGTCGTGTCGGCGATGCTATGCTCCAGTTTGCTGCCTATAACTTTCCCGATTGTACCGACTGGAACCGATACGCCAATCTGGTCAAATGGTTTGGCTATTTGTTTGTCTGGGACGACCACAACGAGACACAATACGGCGATTTTGATCGCAGCAATCGTACGGCTCGTCCGATTGTTGACCAGTATATACAGTGTATTGACCGATTGGAGCGTATGTTTGACATAAAATGTCCGGACAAACTGTCTACTAGTGCTACAGAAAGTATTGATTGCAATAGTGTAGAAGCGGTTGTGGTTTCGGGTGATTATATACCAATTCATACATGGAAACCGTATGTATTGTCCACATATGCTACCGTTGAGGCTATTTTGACTGATATGAATAGTGTTCAACGCTATCGATTCATCGACTCGTGGCGACAGTATCTCAGGGGACAGGACTGTGAAAATCAATTAATTGAAGATAAAGTTATCGACTTTGATATCATAGAAAAGGTATGCTAAGTAAAAGTGTATGTGTGTATTTGTATGTGTGTGTGTATGACTGTATATGTGAGTTTATGTTTGTGTGTTTGTGTATGTGTGTGTATGTGTGTGTATGTGTGTGTATGTGTGTGTATGTGTGTGTATGTGTGTGTATGTGTGTGTATGTGTGTGTATGTGTGTGTATATGTGTATATGTGTGTGTATGTGTGTGTATGTATGTGTATGTGTGTATATGTGTGTATATGTGTGTATATGTGTGTGTATGTTTGTGTATGTGTGTATATGTGTATATATGTGTGAGTTTATGCTTGTG